CTCCTCCTCTTCCTCCTCCCTCTCCTCCTCTTCCTCCTCCTCCTCCTCGCCCACGCTCCCGACGCCTTCCATGTTTTACGTCTATTACAAATCGTCGTAAAGAAACCGAGCGACCTCCTCCGCGACCCCTCCCCCCTCAACGCCCCCCCCCCCCCGCGCCGTATCGCCAGCCCCGATCGGGCGAAAGCGAGTCGTTTACACACTACCGACGGAGATAAAAAATGTTTAATAAACAGTGCCTCTAAAGATGCGGAGCAGGACAGAAGAAGAGGGGAGAGGGGAGAGGAGGGACGAGAGAGGGGGATAGAGGGAGAGGGAGAGAGAGGAAAGGGCGAATGGGGGAGATGGGGGAGGGGAGGGAAGGTGGGAAGTGGTGGCCATTGGGTTATGCTCGAGGTGGGGGATGGGAGGGGGGGGGGGTTCTTAGCCACCTGTGTGTCGTAGGTGAGTGTGTTTATGCTGGTATGTGGTACGCGTGTAGATGTGCTAATTAAAAAATAAAACATTAGAAGTACGTTATTTTTTTAGAAATGACAATTAAAAGAAAGAAAAAAGTAGAAACAAATGTATTAAAAAAAGCAAAATAGACGATAAACAGAGAAAAACAGACACAATAACGACAGTCAAGGAAATGATACAGTAAGTAAACAAACACCAAAAACAGAAGAGTCACAGCAACAGACATCTTGTATTTCCAAGCACGAGGCAATACCTTGGCAACCGAACTCAACGAGCAGCCTCGCGTGTCGCCTTAAGGGTATCCATAAACTTCTCTCTCTCTCTCTCTCTCTCTCTCTCTCTCTCTCTCTCTCTCTCTCTCTCTCTCTTCTTATCTTTTCTCTGTCCTCCCTTCCCCCCTCTCTCTCTCTTCCCCCTCTCTTTCCTCTCCCACCAACTCCCCCACTCCCCCTCTCCTTCCCACCCTACCCATCCTCTCTCCCCCCTTCCATCCCCCCGCCCTCCCTCCCCCTCCACCTCCTCCCACTCTCATCTTCAACCCCAGCAATAACTAAAACCGTAAACTCCTCAAGATGAATCCGCGCCACGAACGCCGACACTTAAGGAACTAATCAAGACTTTATTGCATGTAAATGGTCGAGAAGCCGGGAGAGAAATGTGCATGAGAGTCGGAGGAAGACCAGAGAGGCTGATGTGTCACTTTTCTTGCCATTTTCACGGGACTACACGAATGTTTATTAAAGTGGCGTCTTTATTTTTCGTTCTAAACATCTGTTCGTCGGCCCACAGGCCTCTATGGATGTTTATTAAAGTGGCGTCTTTATATTTCATTTTAAACCTTTGTTCGTCGGACCACAGGCTTCTATGAATGTTTATTAGAGTGGCGTCTTTATTTTTTTGTTCTAAATATCTGTTCGTAGGATCACAGGCCTATATGAGATATTTACGATATTTTTCAATTTTCTATAAATACTAGTTTTCAGGGGGAAAACACAAATAAAAAAATTAAACGAACGAAAATAGGTCAACGAAAGACAAAAAAAAGAGGAAAAAAAGGGTGAATGACAGTGACGACGAGGAGGAACCACATTCTAACCACCGTGCACCTCCGCCTCGAAGACCAGTCGCCCTCGAGACTCATGGCTCTCTAGTCTCCCGTGGTGGCGCTGGGGTTCGAGGACTCGGGCGGTGCGAAGGGGGGGGGGTGCGTGGTGGAGGTGTTGGAGGTGGAGGTGTGAGTGTTGGAGGAGCGACTGCTGGAGGTGTGTGTTGCGAGGTATGAGTGGCGGTGTTGGAGGTGGAGGTGTGAGTGTTGGAGGCGAAGTGGTGTAGGTGTTGGAGATGTGAGTGTTGGAGACATGAGTGTTGGAGATGTGAATGATGTAGATGTAGGTGCTGGAGGTGTGAGTGGTGGTGGCGTGGGTGATGGAAGTGCGTGTTGGATATGATTGGTGTTGGTATGAATGTTGGAGATGCATGTTGGAGTGTTGGAGATATGAGTGCTGGAGATATAAATGGAGATACTTGTGAGAGCAGTATGAGTACTGGAGATGTGAATGACGGGAATATTTAGTGAGAGAAGTGTAGCCTAAGCGCTAAGGCGTGAGGCAGGAGAGGTACTAATGACAGGAGGTGACTAGGTTAGTGACAACTCGAGAGGGAAATGGAGGTAATGAGGCTGGCATGAGGTACAATGACGACCATTGCGCCATGCACCCGTCAGCTTGATCACTGTATGGTCGGTGTTGTAATTCATATACGAGGAACGTCGCTACAGAGAGAGAGGGAGAGAGGTAGGGAGGGAGGGAGGGAGGGAGGGAGGGAGGGAGGGAGGGAGGGAGAGAGGGAGAGAGAGATAGGGAGAGAGGTAGGGAGAGGGAGGGAAAGAGGGGATGGGGATGGGGATGGGGGGAAAGGGAGGGAGGGAGGGAGGGAGAGAGGGAGAGAGGGAGGGAAAGAGGGGATGGGGATGGGGGGAAAGGGAGGGAGGGAGGAAGGGAGAGAGAGAGAGAAAGAGAGAGAGAGAGAAGCCTCCGTGGGTGGAGGATCCGCCCATACACCCGCAGACGTCGCAGCCAGGGAGAGGCTCGAGCTTCTCCTCCTCCGCCCAGAGGGAGTGCCAGAGGAAGACCGGAGTGCCGATGGCGTAAAGGTCGGCTGATAAATTGTGCGTAGGAAGGCAGCGAGAAACAGAATGTGGCGGAAACGCGCGAAATAACACGACTGAGGTATGAGAGACAGATGAGGGGTAGGCGAGCTGACCCTTCACTCATTACCATCTTCCACTTTCCTCATCTGTCATGCTGATTGATTGGCTTTTCCCTTTCTGTCACACACACACACACACACACACACACACACACACACACACACACACACACACACACACACACACACATACACACACACACGCACACACGCACACACACGCACACATAAACACAAACAAACAGACAAATATAGACCCCCGACTCAAACAGACATACAAAATGCATAACACGACCCGCCCTGCCTTACCACGGACGCTTAATGGCAATAAAATAATGCACCAATAATACCCACAAAATTGCAACTCGAGAAAATGCCAAAAGGCCAAGCTGCGCCCGCCAGCCTGTGCGTCCCATAATGACAAACCAAGAATTATATACCCATCAGAAAATCGTTCAAAAATGCAAAACATAAAACAGGCACTAAATTCCGGCCCGAATCGGGTATGAGATGATAAAAGTATTGCAAAAGGGAACTGGTTTTGCGATAAGTATCTGGATAGCCTTTAATATATAGACAAATATAATAGACAAACAGGCGTACATATAGCTTCTGTATATGCGACGAAAAAATAATATGAAAGTCGTATTGCCATTTCCTTATTTGGATGAGAACGGACATAAATAAATAAACAAATAAATATACATACATGCATACACACACACACACACACACACACACACACACACACACACACACACACATATATATACATATATATATATATTCCTACTTAGGCCTACATCAATCTATGAAGCTACACATGGTGACTATAATAATAGTAAAATATAAACAGCCAAGATACCCAGCCAGACGAAGTTATTACAAGAAGGTTTTTTTTATTAAACTTGAATCATTAATTCATGACGTAACGGTAATTCGAAAACGCGACTTTCACGCCGTATTAGCAACACTCATTAACCGAGATCATTTACGTTTTTAATGACTCTTTAAGAGGTCGTACATCCAAGCGTGCGCTCTTTGGGGGTAACTCTATCCTGACTGTAATCCTGAAGCTAAACTTTGTTGCTCCAGATGTTACATTCCTGCGGTTACATTTCAGTGGACTCAATCTTAATGTTACATTTAAAAGATTTTATGACTGTATTTGCTTTTAAGTTCTCTCAAAGGGGGCGGGGGTGTTGCCAACTCAGATAGAATTCGAGTTACTTTATATCTCAATTTATTGACTGTAAAATACACGCATGCAAGTTGCTGTTTATTTTGGACATGGGCAATATTTAGCAAAATGTCTAGTTCACAAATTCTATTGAACGAGAAATGTTATCACGAGTTTCACAAAATAATATTAATATGCAATTATGATCTTGCAAAATAATGGACATCATAGACAAAAACAAACAACCAAAGAACCAAACGTCAGGCGTGGCGCATTAAAGGGATTCGAAGTTTAGTTTCCATTGAAATCGCCACGCACGGAAACGGACGAGCGACGTCAATCAAGGCTTAAAGGACGTGCTGAGTTTGATCTCGTGGAGTTAGGAGTGTCTTTGGCACTCAGTATCTCTGTGAAGATACTCTTGCTCATCACTGAATACAGAGAAAGAAATAAAAAAAATATATGTCTTGCAAATTGATAGCTGCAAGCGGACGCAGTATCCTGTGCAGGTAACGGGGATCGTGGTTAACGTAACCGTTGTTTCACGGGCGTTTTACTTGTGTGCTTTCCGCCATGTGCACATCGGGAGGACACGTGAACATTAGCCGCGGAAATTCCGATTCGCATTTTCGTTACATAAATATAAGTAAACACATGCACAAACACATAAGACATAAGCACATGCTCACGCACGCGCGCGCACGCGCGCCCACACACACACACACACACACACACACACACACACACACACACACACACACACACACACACACACACACACACACACACACACACACACACACATCGAAATATGATCCACGAGGCCGACCGAACGGCTAGGCTTATACTCTAATAATACGCCAGTCAGGTCACATGGGCAATACACGTCTCACATGTCATTTTTGGATTAATGTTGTACACATTGCGAAATTCATGAGAACAGGATGAAGAATAGTGAATGTGCGTGACTGACATGTAAAGGAATATTAAAAGTATTTACACACTCAGCGACGCGTTTTAAAAGTTAACTCACAAGAATGGCATGATGTAAATTATAACAAATCTGTCGGTAAAAGCACGCCTTCGCACAGGATCCTACGGGAACGCACTTTAGGAACCGACTTACGCTACAGAACACCTACGAAATACGCAC